GTTGCGGTGACGCGACCTGGGGGCCCTATTCCAACCTCGGGTCCCGTGAGGGGCCCGTGTGTAGGCTTTCAGCATGTAACACGCCCCCCTCCTTATGAAGACGAGCCGGGGCGCGGGCGAAGCTGCCGATCCGATGGCGGAATGTAGCGAGGAAGGCGAGGAGCTGGAGTGCTCGGCGTAGTCTTCCCTTTGCTAAGATAACGTGAGAGAACGGCGGGAGCTGTGGCCTGCAGTTCCGAACGCGTCAGCCAACGTTCAGCCTTGTGGCTGCAGTAGGAAAAGTGAAGTAGAAACTCTGTTTCTTTGTTGCCATGGCGCCGGTCGGTGATGATATAGCCGGCCTCCTGAAATCCGTCCATGGAAGGAGGGTCTTGCGTACGTTGACCGGGAAACTCGTCGGACTCCGCTGAAACAAAAGGAGCGAGTTTGGAACAGTGGAACACCGTGTGGACGGGCAAGTGAGGTGGCACCGCGATGCGGAATGAAGGCCCCTCGGGATCATCACCAACTGCAGAGAGAATGCGCCAAGGCCCCATCCACTTGGGAAGGAGCTTGCGAGAGATGTCTTGCTCAAGGCTGAACTCCGCGGCGGAGACCCAAACCAGATCGCCAGCGCGGAACGGGCAAGGAAGGCGATTGCGGTTGGCTTGACGGCTCATCCGTATTTGCGTCTTCGACATCTGAACCCGTGCCTTGACAAGAAGCTCTTGCATGCGACGAAGGAACGCAAGATGGTTGTCGCTCTCGACTGTGCGCGACAAAGTGGCGTCCAACGGCGATGAGATGGGTGAACCATGCTCAAACTCGAATGGCGACATCCCGATAGCCGGATGGATCGATGAGTTGTAAGCCAACTCAACGTCTGGCAAGCGCTCAACCCAATCAACCTGGTCGGGACGGATGAGAGTGCGTAGAAGGACTTGAGCGGTGTGATGCGCCCTTTCCGTTTGACCATCGGTTTGCGGGTGGCGAGCCGAACTCGGCTTCAAAGATGAGCCCCATCGCTTGACGAGGGCGACCCAAAAGTCGGAGAGAAAGCAAGTGTCCCGGTCGCAAACGATCTCCTTGGGGTAGCCCTTGGAGCGAATCCAACCGGTGTATAAGACCTCGGCTAACTCCGGTGCCTTTGCGTGATAGCGGCAAGGCAAAAACATGGCGTACTTGGTGAGGCGGTCGACGACCGTGAGGATCCCATCAACGTGGGTCTTGTGCTTCGGGAAGGGGCCGATGATATCCATAGCAATTGCTTCCCGTCGCCCAAGGGGCACTGATAGTGGGTGTAGCTCGCCGAACGGACGGTGGTTGCGTGACTTGCAACGCCGACAGACTTCGCACGACTCACAATAGCGGGTGGCGTCCTTAAGAAGGTCGGGCCAATAGAACCGCTGGCGAAGTCGGCCAAGTGTACGGTTGACACCAAAATGTCCGGAGGCGGGCGCATCGTGAAACTCGCCAAGAAGCCGTGTGCGCAAGTGTGAATCACTCGGCACACAAAGAAGATCCTTACCCCGTGAATGCACCAGCAAGTAGCCCTCTTGGATCCGATAATGCGAAGGCACCGGATTCGGAGAGGAGCAATTTGCGTACTTGTCGCGGAAGTGGGGGTCGGCTTGATAGCCGCGGATGAAGCTCTCCCGCAAGTCGTCGTTGATCTCGGAGGTAGAGTAGACTGCGGTGCAAAGATCCGGTCGCCGTGAGAGGGCGTCCGCAAAACGGTTTGACTTCCCGGGAATGTGATCGGGGAAAAAGTCAAACTGGTCGATGAAAGCCATCCAACGGGCAATGGTATTGTTAATCGTKTCTTGYGACTTGTAGAATACCAACRGATTGTTATCCGTTACCCATCGGAATGCTTTCCGACCAAGGAGGAAATGTCGCCAACGCTTGAGGGCGTGGACGAAGGCAAGAAGCTCCTTCTTCCGTGCGTCGTCGATCGAATGCACGGGAGGTACTTTCTTGCTAAAGTACTCCACCGGGTGCCAGTCCGTGCCATCGTGCTGCTCAAGGACGGCCCCAATGCCATAGCCCGACGCATCGGTAGTGACGCGCGTAGCTAGAAGCGGGTCGTAGATATGTAACACCTCAGCTGATAAGAGTGCCGCTTTGAGTGTTTCAAAAGAATGGCGCGCATCGTCGTCGAAGTCAAAAGGCCGCTCCTCGCTTTGCAACTTGCTTAGGTTGGCCGCGATCTTCGAGTAACYCTTGATGAAGCGCTGATAATAACCGGCCAAGCCGAGGAAGGATCGGACGTCCGTCACATTCTTCGGCTCGGGCCACTCCTGGATGGCTTGAATCTTGTCTGCCAACGGACGAATACCTTCCGGAGAGACAAAATGGCCCAAGTATTCAAGCTCTTGCCGGTCAAACTCGCATTTGTCGCGGTTAGCTTTGTACCGGGCTGACCGAAGAGTCTCTAGAACACGGCGAAGGTGCTCGAGATGCTCCTCTAGAGTTCGGCTATAGACGAGGATGTCGTCTAAGTAGACCAAGACGAAGCGGTCCAACATAGCGTGAAACTCGGTGGTCATGGCCGCCTGAAAGGTGGCCGGGGCATTGGTGAGGCCAAAAGGCATAACTACCCACTCAAAATGCCCATATCGCGTCTTAAACACGGTTTTGTACCGATCTTGCGGGCGGATGGAAATCTGATGATAGCCCGATTTGAGGTCCAACTTCGAAAAGTACTTGGCGCCGCCCAACCGCTCAAGCAAATCGTCAATGCGAGGTAGAGGCCCCGCGTTCTTGATGGTTTGCGCGTTGAGGCGTCGGTAGTCAATGCAAAGTCGAAGGTCCTTGTTCTTCTTCCGAACGAACAGAACATGCGCACCGTAAGGTGAGCTGCTAGGGCGGATCCGACCCTTGTCAAGTTGATCGTCGAGTTGCGCACGGAGAACCGTGAGCTCCTCCTCGGACATGCGATAAATGCATCCCTTTGGTGGCACGGCGCCGGCCTCGAGTATGATCTCGTGGGAGATCGGTCGGTCCGGCACTATACTGGAGGGTGTCTCAAAAACATCCGCGAACTCGTCTAACAACCGGGTCACACGGGGGTCGGAAGACACATCCGTGGACGATGAGTCGGTCGTCGGGACGATTCGTAGAAAAGCGATGCCAATCTCTTCGACATGCTCGGAACGGCATGTGTCTCAAAAAGATTTGGCACTCACGACTTGGCACCGAATGGAAGAGCGAGGAGGAGGAATAGTACACAGGACCTCGGCGCCAGTTGCATCACGAATCGTGAGCGTGCGTCGATGGAAATTGACCGTGTGGTCCGCGCTAGAAAGCCAAGGCATCCCCAAAATGACATCGAAGTCGGTGTCCAACACGT